ATAGGCTGGTGTGCTTTTTCCATGTGGGCTTTGTTGCTTCTGAGCTTGATGGCCGCTTGTTTACCTTCAAGTCTTTAAGACCCCAGACGCTATACTTTTGATAGCCGGGCACCATCAGCTTTCTTTGCTGCCAGGCTTTTCTTGCTTATCATCTGAGATCTAACCAATAAGGACTCCTCCTAACTCTGTAACACTTTGAAAAGAAGTAATTTATTATACTATAATATCTGGGAGAGATGATACTAATTTTTTTTCCTCAGCTTAAAACATACTTCATTTTCTTCTTGTTAGATAATAGTGTTTTTAAAAAAAATTTTCTGAAATAAACTAATTTTATGTACTGACAGTAGCTACTTGCATACCAGAAGATAAATATTATACATCCTTATATAATTATCTCATTCATATATCTTGGAACCTTATTATTTGCTGTGATTACATGTGCTTATAGATATTCTGCATGTAATTTCTATATTGTAATATATCACCGTTAACAAAGTATATATTCTACGATAAAGACCTTTTAGAGATTATATGCTACATAAGAATAAAACTGACATATACATATAGACCTGACACATAGTAGACAATTAACTTAAATTGATTTTATGCATGGGTAAACAAATACAATTAAAGAATGGAAGGTAGCAAGGTTTCGTGCACCGAACATAGGGCTTAGGAACCTAACAATGGTGGTAGAAGGTTTTGACTCCCTCAACATTTTTAAGAGGACAAAGTGAATCATTATCAGCAACAACAGACCAGGGCTGATGCTGCTATGGTATCAGCCATCCTTCCTACAGCACTCCGCTTCTCTCCTGGCTGTGACCATTGCAGGGGCCACACAGAACTTCCAGACCATCACAGTTGAGGTTCAAGAACACTGAGGATATAGTTCTTTGATCAGAATAGCCTTTTCTCAGCCACACCCACCTGCAAGTTTTCCCTTTGCCCTCAACCCCTTGACTTCTGTGCTGCTTGGGCAAGCTTTACAAAGTTTTTACTCTGATGATAAGTAGGTAGAGGCACCCTACTCCATCAGTAAACTTAGGCATGAAGGTGAAAGTACCCTAAATTTTCACACCTCGCTGCTCTGTTTAGTCTTGTTTTATTGCTTTACTTACTCCTTCTTCTTCTTTTTTCTGAAGCACGGTGTGTATTTTGTACTTAACATACATCTCAAACCCAACTGGCTACTTTCCACCTGTTCTGTAGCCACAGGGCAGTTTCCATTACTGGGGAGTCAGTTCTAATTCCGAGCGGTCTTCTAGCGGTTAGGTACTTGACTTTGGTTGTCTCCCTTAATATTGTATTTGACTTTAGAGATGGTTACCTGGCTTGATAAGAAGAAAATGGTAGTTGTAGATTGATTAGGATAGTTGTGATGAAAGTGTGTGCTTGTTGAGGAGGATTACTCATAATCATGTTTGTTTCTAAAGGGTAGGACCTTGCTGTTACCTTTTAAGCGAATGGATTTAAGGAAATACATGTGGGATTTATCTTCGTTCTTCTTAAGATCAAAAGTACTTTTTTATATTTCCGGGTTTAATACACCAGAAATTTTTAATGGCATGTTTTTTGTTTTTTGTTTCTATAGGAATTTTACAATGAATTGGCTCCTTTGTCAAGAATCCCTGCAGGCCCCATCTCAAGATTTTTTTTTGCGATTGACACAGTCTTCTCTATTACCTTTCTATATTTTAGTATTAATTATTTGTTTTCTTTCTATGTTGCAAATTATTTTTAGAAGAATTAAGTAAGTACCTATGACAGTCATTCACAGTACTAGCTAATACATTATGAAAATGTGTAAAATGCTTATTTTCAATACCCTTCCAACAATTGTATATTGTAAATTCATTCTCTATGTTGATATATGAAAGTATCATTTATAAGTTACCCAGGTGAAAGGAGCCTCTGGAGTGGCACAAATTGTTACTCACTTGACTACTAGCTAAAAGGTTGGTGGAACCACAGGCCTGGGGATCAATCCACTTCTGAAAGGCTATGCCCTTGGAAACCCTAATGGAGCAAATCTCTGCACACATGGGTCTGTCATAAGTGGAAATGAATGCAGTGGCCACTAACAATAACAGCATCAACAAATCAGATAAAAATTCAAATTTAGCTTTTACTTTTAGTGATTTTTTAAAAATTGTGAATTAGGTGGAGAGATTGACATTTCAGACCATAAACTCATAAACTCTGTCTTCACTAATTCAGATCACTTCTCAGACCGCTCTCCTCTACTCCATCCCTCTGGTTTCCCTTCGTATGGACTTCCATCCCCCATTTCACCCAAGTCAGTCCTGTCAGCCTCATACTCTGTTGCTTTATCTCACCACCCCAACCGCCCGCTCTTAAGAACCTCTAAAGTCTGTTCCCTTTGGTATGTAAGGTTTTTTTCCCCAACAGTTTTATTGGCACATCATTTACATATCATACAATTTAGTAGTTCAATCATATCAAGGAGAATTTTACAATTATTACCACATCAGTTTTAGAGCATTCCTCCCCGCCTCCCATGGTTAAATCACCTTTGAAATGAGTTGTGCAATCACAATCTGTATGTAAGTCGTGTCTTGCTTTTTATCCTTACAGTAGTGGTCTCACACATTGTTTGCTGTTTGTGATTGACTGACTTCATAGAGCATTCACATTTGGTTTTGTATATCTAATTATGTAGTGCCCAAATTTAGTATAGAAGTAATTTTTAAACAGTTAAATTTTTATACACAGGTTTGCTAATTTGCTCAAATGTTGACTAGGGGTCATTTCTTCCATTTTTAAATTGTAAGTTTTGACTTATATATTTTCATCACGTTTGAAAAGAGAGTATATGTAATATCTTAATTTTGGTAACTGAGTTATTTAAATTATGATTCTACCATATTCATTTAGCAACTGCTAATGGAGTGCTCACTGAGCTTAGAAAATGGAACCTAAAAATATCCCTATCATTATATTTCTTGTATTCACAAAGTTATCTTCAGGTTCTAAAATCCATTTACAAAGACTTGGAGATATATAAATTAGGTATTTGACTAGCAAAATATATTTTCAAATTTTAAGAACTGTCTTAGTTATCTAGTGCTGTTGTGACAAACATTAACACTAATAGGTGGCTCTAACAAATGCTTTTCTCAAGCTAGGTGGCTAGCAAATGTGCACTTCAGGCTCCATTGGAAGGCGCTCTCTGCTCTCTGCCCTCTGCCCTGGCAGAGGGCCATGTCTCTTTTCAGTTTGGTTTTTTTTGGTTGTCTCCTTGGTGATTTTCATATCGCATGGCATGTACCATGTTTTTACTCCAATTAACACCTGTGTTGTACCTTTTTTGGGGGGCTCCCTCTCCCCCTAGTATTTACCTAAGCATGTTATACTAATATTTTTACATGTTGCTATAAAATAAACTACCTCTCAAATTAAAGTCATGTTTTTGCTTCTCTCTAAAAATAGATAAATAAATAAATAAACAAACAAACAAACTACCTCTCCCCTGCAGTTGGTCAAGGAAGTTGCATACTTACAATATTTTTATCAAAATACTGTGTATTTTATCACTCTGCTTGCTTACTTAATCTACACTTTTTTTTGTTTCAAAATAAATCGACTTAAAACACTGCATATTAATATTGCCTCATCAACATAAAGAAAACTCATTCCCAGATGGGATTAGTAGTACTGGTATACAGGTCAGGATTTACAGTATATATCTTTGGGAGATACAGTTCAATCCATAATAAGAACCTTTTATGTTTCTTTTCATGAAGAAATTAAAATCTTAAGTATGGCCTTCAGAGATGTATGGTGATTTTTCATTTCCTTTCTGTAGTGGTAAGTCAGTGAAAGAAGCGGGTTCTCTCGAAGATGGACGGATTGGAGGAAGGCCAGAAATAATTTATCATGTCATTCATACTATTTTATTGGGTTCTCTTGCAATGGTTATAGAAGGGTAAGTTTTTATTTGATCTGCATGTTTTTCCAGAAATGTCCTTCTTATAAGTAACCCTGGTGGAGCAATGGCTAAGCTCTCACCTGTTAGCTGAAAGGTGAGTGGTTGGAACCTGCCAGAGGCTCCAAGAGGAAAGCTGTGTCCGTGTGTTTTCTCCAACATTTACAGCCTGGAAACCCCATGGGACAGTTCTAGGAGAGGAAGTCATCTCTGCTACCTATAACAACAATACTGTGAAGAGAATTTGTTGTTGCTAGGTCCTGTCAAGTCAGTTCCCACTCTCAGTGACAAAAAAAAAATCACTGCCCGGTCCTACGCCATCCCTGCAATCATTCAGTTTAAGCCCATTACTGCAACCACTGTATCAGTCCATCTCACTGAATCAGGCCGAAGATTGATTGACATGTATTTAGAATATATAATGTGTTAATATTGAAAGAAATTTTTGGGTTTTTTTTTTTTTACTCTCGAATATCCTATTAGTCTTTTGGATTTTCTATGGAGAGGATATGACTGAATTATGCATTAGGCTACTAACCTCAAGGTCAGTAGGTCAAGAGCACCAACTATGCTGCAAAAGAAAGATAAGGCTTTCTACTCTGGTAAAGAGTTACAATTGCGGAGAGCCATAAAGGCACTTCGACTCCCTCCTATGCCATAAGGCTGCTAGAGGCAGTATCGATTTGATGGCAGTGAGTAAGGAAGATGTATAGGATCAAAGCAGTTACTTGTCCTGTGCCCTACAATATTTGCCATGTTGTATTTCTGTTCTCATTTGATTCCAGGAATTTTTCAATTTTATTGTTTTATTACTGAGTAGTTTCAAAGCAGGGTATTATTCATTTCCTTTGTGCAGTTTTTTTCCTTGATATTTCTGTTGATATCTAGATTTATAGGGTTGTGATCTGAGAAGATGTTTTGTAATGTCTCAGTATTTTAAATTTGAGCTTGCCTTGTGGTGTAATGTAGTCTATTCTCGAGAATATTTCATGTGTGCTAGAAAAGAATGCATATTGTGCTGTTGACTGGACTGTTCTGTGTTGGGTGTCTATGAAGCCAACTTGGTTGATTGTGTGACTTAGTTCTGTGTCTTTGAGTTTCTTTCTGCCCCTCACTGAGAGTCGTGTATTAAAGACTTTTACTATTATTGTAGAGTTTGGTCCTTATCTCTTCAGTTTTGTAATGTATTTTGAGACTCTTTTATTGGGTGCTTAGATATTTATTAGAGTTATGTCCCTTTGTTTAACTGACCCTTCAGTCATATGCCCTTCTTAGGAGCCCTGGTGGTGAAACGGATTATACATTGGGCTGTTGACCACATGGTCAGCAGTTTGAAGCTACCTGCACGCTGGACGAGGGTGCAGAGGCTTTCTCTTCCTCTAAAGATTTGTAGTCTCAGGAACTCAAAAGGGCCAGTTCTACTCTGCCCTCTAGGGCTGCTGCGAGTCAGACTTGGCTTGATGGCAGTGGCTTTTGGTTGTCTTTTAGGCTAGTATTTGCCTAGAAATTAGTATTTGCTACTCTTCATTTTTGGATGCCATTAGCTTGATAGAAATGTTTGTCTTTGTTTCTAAGGTGTTTTCTTGTAAGCAACATATATAGATCTGTCTTCTGTTACTCGGTCTCTTGCTTGGTGTATTTATTTCATTTACATTCAGTGTAATTATTGATAGGGATAAATTTATTGCTGTAATTTTGCTGTGTTTTTTTTTGTGGTTTTGCTGCTAGTTTTTTTATATCACATAATTTTTTATGCTGAGTTAATTTTGTTCGGGTTTTATTAGCATGTTCTTCATTGCTGTCGTTGTGTTTACTTATACTTCATGATTTCCCTCTTTATTTTGATGAGGTTTATTCATTTTTTTTATAGTTACCCTGTAAGTTACTAATTTCTTCCCAAGTTAAGACAGTTTGTTCTATTTTGAACATTTCTTCTTCATTTGAAACTCTACAACTACACTCCTTCCTATGTTTACTTTGTAATTGGCTTCAGTCCAAATTCAGATTGCTGGTCCTATTTTCAACCTTTTAGGTCTGTTTTAATTTGGCTACTAATATCTAGGTTGACTTTTGAGTTGTGTTGTCATATGTTAATTTCAGTTTATTGTTCACTATTGTTTCTGTTTTTGTTTTTTTCAAGTCATTTTATTGGGGGCTTTTGTGTCACTGTTCTAAGAACTTCCCTTAGTATTATTTCTCGTAAGGTTGGTCTGGTTTTTACGCTTACATTAATATTTCTGTAGACTCATTTACTTGAAATGGGATAATCTCACTTATAGAGTTGTTAACATAAGTGTGTAGAGCTATATATACAAGAGTTTTAACTATAGCATGTTGTTTTAATAGTTCTAACTCTCCAGCTGGTCCGAAGAAGAATGATGAGGCATGTCTGCTCCAGTAAAGATATGCAGTCTCAGAACCCTGTGGAGCAGTTCAACTTTGTGCTGTAGGGTTACTAAGAGTTGGAATCAATTTACTGACAGTGGAGATATAGGGTTTTTTAAATGTTTACAAGTTTTGGGAAAGCTGTAACAGTTTGTATTCTTTCTATGAATATAATTTTATTCCACTCACATCAATAGTATTGCTTATATCCCATCCTTATTTAGTAATCCACATGCTTTCTTGAATATTTAAGATCTGAATAACTGTTGCTGATAATTAGAGGCTACACATTTTCAGTTTTCCTCTGACCTTCCGTAATTCTGTGAGTAGTTTGGAATTAAAAATAGCTGATCTGATGTTCACAGGGACCTGATCTGTGATGCGTTCTTTCCTCCTTACAGCTTAAAGTACCTCTGGACTCCATATGTGTGCATGCTAGCAGCATTTGGTGTCTGTTCTCCAGAACTTTGGATGACCCTCTTCAAATGGCTTCGATTAAGGACTATACATCCAATACTGTTGGTGAGTCATTATTATTTTGTGTTACATACTTGTTTCCCTTCCAGGTACACAAAATCAAATGCTAAAAAATGGAAACCACATCGAATACAATTAAAATAGCAGGAATAAATCATACTATGACTTAATGGCAGAAAGAGAGATGTTTTGAAAAACCAGTTTTTAAAATTTCTAATGATAAAAATAAAGATTTTTATTGCAGACAAATTAAAACATAAAGTGTAAAAATGGAACAATAATGTGAGAGGCCATCGAGAATTAATTGTTATGTTTCTTGGTTTTATTTAGCTCCATGATAATGTTTTTCATGTGAGTGGAACATTTACTCTGGACCTTCTACGTGGTTGGAATACAAAGATAAATAAAATATTAATTTTATCCAGTAGATTATAATCTCTGAGGCATTAAACAAATTATAAATATTCTTAGGGTGCTACTGAAACACAAAGAAAAGGCTACTTAACTCGGTTGTGTTAGGGACTCAGAAACTTCCCAGTCTAAATTTGAAAGATGACAAGTCAAATGAAGGTGGGGAAATGGTTGTTGATGGTAGAAAGAATAGGTATAGAGGTAAGCAAAGACCATGATGTAATCAAAGGGACTGAATAAACAGAAGCAAAGAAAAAGAGTAATGTATTTAGTTTTGCTGGCAAATCAAGTTTGATGAAAAGTTGATACAAAAATGACACCTGGAAAGTAGAGGCCGGTCAGGTCATGGAGGCCTTTGAATGCCATGATAAGGAACTTCAGCTTCTCAACATAACGGAAGGTTTTTTTTGTAGAGAAAAAAGAGTCAGACCTATGTTTTCTGTTAGATTATTTTTACAGTTCTGGGAAGGATAGACCTGAGGGTGGATCTAATAAGAAGACTATTTTCCAGGTACAGGCCATGCTGGATTACAGTAATTAAAGTTTCAGTTTGTTGAGTGCTAAGTTAAATGCTTACAAAGATGATATATTTGGAAACTAATTCATGTCTTGGTGTTTCTGACTCCAAACCCACTTGATAAATACTGTTGTATACTGGAGTGTTTAAAAATTAGGAAAGAAGATTAATATTACCTAGAGATTGATTAATTTTTTTTGAGATTGACTATTGAAGGATGAGGAAGAGGAATAAATCATGGGTGTATCTAGGCTTGTTTTGTTTGACCTTATGGATCTCAGGGTTACTAGTTGACATAGGGCCAGTAGGAAGAACAGTTTTGGAAGGAATGATGAATTAATAATAGTCACATTGTATTTGACAGTCTTACTCTCAGAAATGTATATAATCTTCAACATATTAGTATGCTCTTAATACGAGAGGGCTTCAAAATGTTGTTTTCCAACAGTTTTATTGGTATATAATTCACTCCATACAATTCAATAGTTCAGTCATATCAAGAAGAGTTGTATAATCATCACCATAATCAGCTGTAGAACATTTTCTTAATTCTTGTACTTGTCATTATTAGCTGCCCGTTTCTCCTCAACCTCCCCTGCCATACCCACAGATAATCATTAATCCAGTTACTATCTCTATAGATTTACCTTCAAAACTTTTTTAAAAGATGGAACTAAAAGATAACAGAAGTTTTCCAACAACTTTTTTTTAGGCCCCCCTCATATATTGGTTGTTTTTATCTGTTGGTTTCTTGGTCGCAATTCAGTAAGCTCCTCATAATTTTATAAGCTCCTCATAACTTAAATTCCTGGCTAATTATAAAATATTGATTGCCTATTTGAAATACTATCTGAGCATTAGTCTTTTTATGTTCTGCATTAAATTCATAGGCAATATTTCACCTTCAGCATAATATGTTGAAACTCAGTGGGCTTTATCCATATTCACTCCAGGAATTAATTTTCACAATTACTTTCCAATTTTTCTGGCTAAAATGGTCATAATTTTTTAAAATTCTGTGTACATTTTTAAAAATCATACAACTCATACAACTCATATCACAATCCATACATACATCAATTGTGTAAAGCACATTTGTACATTCATTGCCCTCATTCTCAAAACATTTGCTCTCCACTTAAGCCCCTGGCATCAGCTCCTTATTTTCCTCCTCCCTGCTCCCCCCTCCCTCATGAACCCTTGATAATTTATAACTTATTATTTTGTCATATCTTGCCCTGTCCGATGCCTCCCTTCACCTACCTTTCTGTTGTCCGTCCCCCAGGGAGGAGGTCACATGTAGACCCTTGTGATCGGTTCCCAAATGGTCATAATTAAAAGGAAATGTGAGTTGTGATATTTGTTGCTGAACAGGGAGTCATAGTCAAGTACATCAAAGGCGCATTCTAAAATGTATTTATCTGTAACTCTTTGTGTTTCAATTTTCTAGGCTCTTATTCTGAGCATGGCTGTGCCTACTATAATAGGTTTTAGCTTATGGAAGGAGGTAAGAAAATCAGTTTTCTACGTTATTGAAATATACTTTTTTGTACTTTTTTTCTAAGTAGTGATAAGTATATATTTGTATGTTAGGAGGAAGCTTATTTAGACATTTTTCTAACAAAATACAATATTACTACTGTTATATATTGTGTAGTACATTACTTTATAAATTTATGCATATTAGTATACTATATTCTTAATAATAATGCTCTTATCAATTCAGTTTATAATTCAGAAAGTAAATTGCTGAATAAATATGTCTTAATATTTTAAAAATTTTAGCCCTTCCTAAATTCTAGTAAAATGATACAAATTCTTTGGTTTACCATACTATCAAACTAATTATCAATTAATTTGCAGACCCTTTAAGCCTGCTTTAATTATTTAATCTGTTCATTTAAATGTGTGTATATGATTCACAAAACTAAGGAACAGTTGTTTGGTAATGACAAAGATATTTGTGGAATCTAGACAATGAATGAACGATAGGATTGAGATTGAGAAGAATGAGCAGGTCGCTGAAAGAAAGCAATGAGCTCCATGATCTTTTTCCCATGATAACAGTGCTGTAATACTGTTTGCCTAAGTTAGTCTTTTGAAATACTGTGAATACTTAAACATTCTAGTTACTTATACCTTCTGAGGATTTTGTTTTGTATTTTAGTTTTTTCCAAGATTAATGACAGAATTATCGGAACTACAGGAATTCTATGATCCAGATACAGTGGAACTTATGACTTGGATAAAGTAAGAATTGTACTGTGCAGGATGACTTGTTACGGAATTAAATAATAATAATCTACTATCTGATGGATTTAGGGGAAATAAGAAATTAATACTTTTCTGAATTCTCACTGAACTCAGGAATGTTGTTTTGTGTTGTTAGGAATATCTATTTTTTATTCTAATTTTCTAATTAAACTCATCTCTGTGGTCTTGAAAATATGGCATTGCTAAGTTCAGAATTTTAGGTTTCCGTTTTTGGCGATATAGCAAACTAGATAACCTGAGAATCTGCCTACCTTCAATGTCTCCCAAAACCAAACTTACTGTCATGAGTTCGATGCCAACTCATAGCAACTACAGAGAAATTAGGTAATCATTAAGGTGCTTCTGTGCCCTAAACTAGAGGTGGTTAGGGATGGCTAACTGATCTTTGTAACCAAGGGATTTGGGCTTTACTGCTTACAGAACATGACACCTTGGGCCTGTGGAAGTAGGGAATTGCAGTCGAGACATCTCCCACTATGCACACATGCATAACTCCAAACAAGAAAGATCCATTGCCATCAAGTCAGTTTGGAGCATCCCTGTAGGACAGAGTAAAACTACCCCATGGGAGTTCCAAGGCTGTAAATATTTAGGGAAACACATTGTCACATCTTTCTCCTATAGAGCAGCTGATGGATTCAATTAACAGCTGAACACCTCCACTTTGACACTAGTATTTCATAAATGACACTGGGATATTCAGAGGACTGCACTATCAATGAAAGGATGAACTAACAAAATCTCCACCAAGTGGTTTTTTAAAAATCATTTTATTGGGGGCTCTTCCAGCTCTTATAACAATCCATACATCCATTGTGTCAAGCACATTTGTACATATGCTGCCATCATCCTTTTCAAAACATTTTCTTTCTACTTGAGTCCTTGGTATCAGCTCATTTGTTCTCTCTCTCCTCTACCCTCCCACCCTCATGAACCCCGGATAAATTATAAATTATTTTCATATTTTACACCATCCACTGTCTCCCTTTACCTATGTTTCAGTTGTCACCCTAGGTGTGTGTGGGGGTTATATGTCGATCATTGTGATCTGTTCCCCTCTTCTCCTCCCACCTTCCCCCTACCCTCATGGTATCACTACTTCCATTAATGTTCCTGAAAGGGCTATCTGTTCTGAATTCTGTGAGAGCTCTTATCTATACCAGTGCACATGCTCTGGTCTAGCTGGATTTGTAAGGTAGAACTGGGGTCATGATAGTGGGGCAGGGGAGAGGGGGTGGGGTGCGAAGAAGCATTAAAGAACTAGAGGAATGTTGTATGCTTCCTTGGTGCTATAGTGCACCTTGGCTGACCTGGCCCTTCCTTGTGACCCTTCTGTAAGGGGATGCCCAATTATCTATGGATAGGCTTTGGGTCTCCACTCTGACTCCCACCTTGTTCACATTAATATGGTTGCTTTGGGTCTTCTGATGCCTATACCTGATCTTGTCAACACCTCATGATCACACTGGCTGGTGTGCTTCTTCCATCTTTGTTGCTTCCCTGCTAGATGGCCGCTTGTTTATCTTCAAGCCTTTAAGACCCCAGACACTATATATCTTTTAATAGCTGGGCACCATCAGCTTTCTTCACTACTTTTGCTTATGCAGCCATTTTGTCTTCAGTGATTGTGTCAGGAAGGTGAACATCAGAGAATGCCAGGTTATTAGAACAAAGTGTTCTTGCGTTGAGGGAGTACTTGAGAGGTCCAATGTCCATCTGCTACCTTAATACTTAACATATAAATATATGTACATAGATCTATGCCCCTATTGTTATATGTAAACATATTTACTTATGTATGTGCTTTTATTTAAACCTCTATAAATGGCCTTTGCCTCCTACTTCTCTCCTCTTATTTCCCTTTGTCCCACTATTATGTTCGACCTTCATTCGGTTTTTAGTTATTCCTCTTGGCTACATTGCACTTGATCAAACCCCACCAAACGCCCTCCTCGCCATTGATTTTAGATCACTTGCTGTTCCCTTGTCCCTGGGTTATTGGCTACCCCATTCCTCCCCATGTCACTCCTGAACCATGGATCCCATTGTTTTCTCCTCGGGATTGTTTATCCTGCCTGTCTTATGTAGACACACTTTTTTTTAAAGGCTATAAATAGTTCCAGGTCTGTCTACTTTTTTTTTTTTCCGTTAGGGCACTTACTTTGAGATTGAGCAATCAGGTCTGTCAACTTTTATGAATGTTTTCTTTTTTTTTTTTTAATCATTTTATTAGGGGCTCATACAACTCTTATCACAATCCATACATACATCAATTGTGTAAAGCACATTTGTACATTCATTGCCCTCTTCATTCTCAAAACATTTCCTCTCCACTTAAGCCCCTGGCATTAGGTCCTCATTTTTCCCCTCCCTCCCTGCTCCCCACTCCCTCATGAGCCCTTGATAATTTATAACTTATTATTTTGTCATATCTTGCCCTGTCCGACGTCTCCCTTCACCCACTTTTCTGTTGTCCGTCCCCCAGGGAGGAGGTCACATACAGTTCCTTGTAATTGGTTCCCTCTTTCCTACCCACTCTCCCTCTACCCTCCCAGTATCGCCACTCACACCACTGGTCCTGTAGGGATCATCCACCCTGGATTCCCTGTATTTCCAGTTCCTATCTGTACCAGTGTACATCCTCTGGTCTAGCCAGACTTGCAAGTTAGATATGAATGTTTTCTAATCAAGTCTGTTGAGGTGCCAAGCTCTGCCCCTGAAGCCTATTTTTGGGATTCCTCAGGGACTTAATTGCTTTGCTCCCCTTGCTGCTTTGTTGCAATCCCTTCCTGTTTCACCCTGATGTGTGTGTGGGTGTGGGCACAGTTCTGTTAAATTTTTCATTCCTTTTTTTGAACTAATTTTTTGAAGCCTTCCTTGTATAAGCCTCCTACAGGTTGGTTTAGGGTTTAAAATTACACTTGTTTAATCCAGGAAATCCCAAATTGAAATTAGTATTAAAAAACTGGCCTGGTGTCTGATATACCCCCCAAAAATTACTTGATTTATATCACTCTGAACTGTTGCCTTTTCTGAACTGTTATCTGATCTTGTCAACACCTCATGATCCCACTGGCTGGTGTGCTTCTTCCATGTGGGCTTTGTTGCTTCCCTGCTAGATGGCCACTTATCTTTAAGCTTGTAAGACCCCAGAACTCGTTGAATACTGACTTGGGCTGTCAATCACAGAAGAAGACATTGTACCATATATATGTATGACACGCCATGTACTGTTTTTAAACGTATAGGAAAGGCCTGAACCATGATACATTGGATGCTTGTACTTTATAGTACAATGGAATAATTATTCCGTTTCATGTTTGTTTTCCCACTGGGAGCTCATTGCAGAGTGATCAGGTGCTGCATGTGTTCCCATGACCTAGCGGTTTACTTAGCTCGTAGTAGGTGGACACTGTAGGGCGATGGTATATGAGTGGAAGCATTAGGACAGCATTTGGGGACCTCTTGTAGGTGTCCTAGACCTGTAAGTGGCATGTATCTGGGATTTTGGGTCATGTTTCAGAGTGGAAAAATCTTATTTGCATTATCTGGATACAGACATGGGTGAAAATAAGGAAGAAGCAGAAGATTGATAGTTCTGGAAATATTTGTGGTAGTTGATATTTGCAAAAGATGAATTTGAGAAATTCAGCATCACTACCAACTTAGCCATACTATTGAATATAATGTCTTCCTGTCCCTCTCACTGCCCCCTAATTGTGCACTAATTTTTAATGTAGTATTATTACCACCTAACAGATGTATATTGTTTATTATCACCTCATGATGTCTCTTGATAGCAGGAACTTTTTTTTTTAATTGCTTTATCTCTAGCACTCATAATAGTGCCTGGCACATAGATGTTCAGTTTTTTTGTATGAATCCATGAATAAAGTGAATGAAAACTCACATTGAAACTTAAGTGTACACAATAAATCTCTGTGTTTCCGAGTTGATATAAGTCACTGATCTAAAGAGGATACTGCCTTTTCCTTATGTAAAATCTTTATGGTTCTTTGCAGAAGACAAGCTCCAGTCGCAGCGGTGTTTGCAGGGAGTCCACAGTTAATGGGTGCGATTAAATTATGCACCGGATGGATGGTGACAAGCTTGCCTGTGTACAACGATGATGATCTTCTCAAGAGGAATGAAAATGTAAGACGTTTCAGAGTCTATATTTGCATCTTTTACAGCACTCTTGTACTTTACTCACCATCCTTCTATGGTGCTGCATATGTCTTTAGTGTATTGCAGAGACAGTGAGGAAAAAACAAATAATTTCAGACCATAAGGATTAATTATATTTAGTTTTAACAAGTTGTACAATATAAGGGGGCTTCAAAAATCCTTTTGTACATTTAAGAACTAAAATTAAAATACTAAGTCCGTTGTTTTATGACTAGTGTTGCATATTTCTTAGAGAAAGTACATTTAATTTTTCACAAAGTATCAGGAAAACTGATGGGTTATATTTCATAAAAGGAAACATTCTCATGAAAATAGGATTCTTAACTCAATTAATGAAAAGATTATCAACTAATATCTTGATACACTTTGCCTTTTCAAAGAAAAATTCTATTGCTCATGAAACACTGATTTATTTTTAGATAGAGGCTATACTCCCCATAACATTAGAATCTAAGTTTAATATCTATTGTGGTGAATATATACATATTAAAGCATATGCCTTCTCTCTGGGGGACGGACAGCAGAAAAGTGGGTGTAGGGAGACATCGGACAGTGTAAGACATGACTATAATTTTATAAATTATCAAGCGTTCGTGAGGGAAGGGGCTGAGACGGAGGGGAAAATGAGCTGATATCAAGGGCTCAAGTAGAAAGCAGATGTTTTGAGAATGATAAGGCCAACGAACGTACAAATGTGCTTGGCACAATGCATGTATATATGGATTGTGATAAGAATTGTACGAGCCCCCAGTAAAATGATTTAAATAAATAAATAGAACATATGCCCACTCATGTACAATTCAGTGGCAGTTGTGTTCTTTAAGTTGTGAAACCATTCTCATTATCCTTTTTCACATTATTTTTCTACTATTAGCATAAATTCAGTGTCCCTAAGCAAGAATTCCCATTTTCTTCCTCCCTCTCACTCTGGGTAACCGCTCTATTCTTTGGGTTTTATATGATTTGCTTATTTCATGTAAGTGAAGTCATGCAATGTGTGCCCTTTTGCTACTGATTTACTTCACTCAGACTGATATTTTCTTTTTATAGGTTTTTAAAAAATAATTAATTAATTTATTTTTTTATCATTTTATTA